ATTTTAATTGCCTGTTTTTCTGTTTTGTAGTGAAGTTTCTTTCCGTGACTTCCTTTGGTACAAATCTTTCTCTAAAAGTTATGGATTTAATTTAAGTGAAAGAAATAGCAATGTACTTTAATATATTTGTGTATTATAGCATCCTACTTTCGTTTCTTTGTACTACATCATTGTACCTTCAATCTTTTTCTTATCAAAGCATCATTGTACTTTGGAAAATCTACCTATTTATAGCATTGTACTTATAAATGTTTTCTTATTGTAGCATTGAAAATTGCTTTGTATTTTGATGACATTGCTATAATTGGGTATATTTTTTAAAGCAAAAATATTGTAAGAGGAATCAATGAAAGTAGGATGCTATAACAAACAAATCATTGAAAGTACATTGCTAGTTCTTACATTCAACCCCTTTTTTTTAAAGTTTCCCATGATTATCTCCTTGTTGTTATACGTATAGGGCGAATTCAATATTTTGGACACGTGCTTTAAGTATACCACTTCCTCGTTCTTATGTATTTCCACAAATTCAAGAAGAGCAACAGAATCATGATTCCAATTCAGAGTTGGCTAATGGTGATAATGGCAAAAGTGAGTTTTCTTTGTAAATATGATTTTAATAATGAGAAAAGTGAAATACTTATATTTACCCATTAAATTTCAGAACATGAAGTTGAAAATGGGGTCGATTCTTCTTCTATACAAGAAGAGACTGTGTGGGTTGAGGGTCTTGTCCCTGGCATTGACTTTTGCAACCATGGTACTTTCCACTGAAGTCCCTAAACTTTTACCTATTTGCTAATAAGCCCTTGCATATAAAGCTTTTGTAAATAAGCTCCCCAAAGTTACTTTTATGTAAAATACTCCACAACTTAATAGATTTAAAGGCTGCTGCAACATGGGAAGTTGATGGAACAGGATCAGCAACCGGTGTTCCATTGTCCATGTATCTTCTTTCCGGTAATCATAACTTTTTTTAGAACAATGAAAAGACTTTTTGATGTTAAAAGACCATTTTGCCCTTTGCATTAATATAGTCGAAGAAGCTCGTCTTCAAAGTGGGAAAGAGATATCAATTAGCTATGGTAACAAAGGAAATGAGGTACAATCATCACCACCATTATAATTTAAAAAAAAAAAAAAACTTATTTTTGTTCAAACGGGGTTTTAAGACATTAAAATGCATACATTTTTTTTCTTCCTTTTATGATACTATTCTGGTATTTTAATTGCAGGAACTTCTATACTTATATGGATTTGTCATGGATAATAATCCAGATGACTATATCATGGTAATCTTTTCCTATATGTAATGTCATGGTTAATTTCTCAAGGGCAATATGGTCAACTTACATAACCATATTTACTCTTTCACAGCTTCACTATCCAGCTGAAGCTATCAAGGACGTACCGTTTTCTGAAACCAAAATACAACTTCTAGAAGCACAAGTCAGTACAAATTATATTACCAATTTTCATCACTATAAATACTGTAATGGTTTTACTTATGATGCTATACATTTTTATAATCAACAGAAAGCTGAAATGAGATGTCTTTTATCAAAAACTTTACTTGATCATGGGTTCTTCTCTAACAAAAAAGAAACAAATGGTAAATGTAAAGAAAATGAAGCTCCCAATTTTAGTTGGAGTGGTCAAAGAAAGACTCCATCTTACTTGAACAAACTTGTTTTTCCTGAAGAGTTCTTAACTTGCTTAAGGACTATAGCCATGGGGGAAGATGAGATATATAAGGTTACATCGTTGCTTCAAGAGGTGCACTCATATTTCTGTTTTATTTGTTTGCAATAAATACCAACATACTTTCATCTATTTGTTTCTTATACTTATAGCATCCTACTTTCATTTCTTCTTATTTGTTTCTTATACTTATAGCATCCTATATACAAATCAATTTTCACATGGTAAAAATTTCAAAGTATAATGTCCTAATAATAATGCCTAAATAAAATAAATGAAAGTGCTATGATGTAATAGAAAGAAATGCACAAATAAATGAAAGCATGTTGCTATTTCTAACATTTAGCACTAGTTTTTATAACCATATTTAACATATCAACACAAAAATTCATATTTTGATTATTGTGTGAGTAACTATATATATTTTGTTTAAAGCTTGTTGGTTCAGATGGGGAGAGACAACCATCAGATATAGAAGTTCGTGCAGCAACATGGGAAGCTTGTGGGGATTCGGGCGCCCTACAATTGCTTTTTGATCTTTTAAATACAAGGTTTTTTTTTTTCTGAATAAATGATGTTTAATTTTATTTTAATGAGTTTAATGTTTTAAGCACTTAATCTGGAGTCTGGACAGCTATACATGGCTGTTTCTTTTTGACTTAATCCGGACAGAATGGTATAACAGGTTAAGCCAAAAAAAAACTCTGGCTTGATGTATTTAGACACTAACCTTTTGCCCTTCTTTATTCCTTCCAACTCCTCTCATGTTTAAATTGATGAATATTGGGATTTTTTTAGAGTGTAAGGGTAAAATGGTCATTTAGTTTCGGTTACATTAAGACTGTTTATTTAGTGTAGAAGAAAAACCTTTTTATCCAAACAGACATCATTACATATTCAGCTACTTTATGTGTAGTGTATAGAAGTTAATGAGAATAAAAAAAGAAACAACCTTTTAGTTTGAAACAATTGAAAAAGATTTTCTTCTTGGTTTTGTGAAATTTAAAGGATGATGGATCTAGAAGAGGGCTCTAGAACAGAAGATTCTGATACTCAAATACTTGAGAAGGTCTACTGCTACAATAATACACACAAAGAAGGAAAAAGGTACGAGATTTCAAGTGCTAAATAATTAACTTGTAGTTTTGACAAAATTTTCTTTTTAATGGGTGAATGGTTTTTGTATTTTCTTGTTTTCTGGTAATTTCTTATTGAAGCAATGGGGCACCAAAGAAGCAAGAAATCAGTCGAAACAAATGGTCAAGCATAGTATACAGGCGAGGTCAAAAGCAACTCACTCAACAGTTTTTAAAAGAAGCAGAACACGCGTTACAATTAGCTTTAAGCGAAGGCAATTAAAATAAAACCTGCCTTTGACCGAACTCTATCTTCTAACAAATAGATCAAAAGATTTATCATCACCTACTACTTTGATTATGATTTTTTGGGTGGGGGTTGATTCCAATGCATTACGCTGATTTTTCCTTGTGGCAATGCTTCCTTGACTTGTACTAGGTGCATTAAGTGTAGTACATGTTACATTTGGCTGGTGAGGTTATATGTACATGACCCATCTTCTTTTGTCATTCTTTTTGGCTTGCAGCTTGTTTGTTAACTCATGTATTTTGCATTATTGAACATCCTTCAGTGGAATTTCTCTTTCAAATTAGACCCTTGTGCAAGAAATAGCAATGGAGTTTCCTTTTTTTTTCCCCCTTTATTATAGTAATGTATATTAAATTTTTTTAGGCAATTATATTTTGAAAAATATACATAGCATAAAACTATCATTTATTTTTAAAAGATTATACTTTAGTTGTTTAAAATAAGAGCGTCATACATCAAATAACATATGTTTACAATAAATAAATAAATCATGAATTAAACATGGTCCCAAAACTCATGTTGAAAAAAAAAAACATTTGGACGTAAGCTTTTGTCTCACACTTAAAAAATCAAAGTTTTAAAAGCGACACTAAACAAACTTTGAAACCAAGCGTTAAGTAATTAATATAATGGATATCCATTTGTACCATATACGTATCTTTCTTGTAAACTTATGAATCATGATACCGAATTACCTATAAAGTTATCTCAAAAACAGCACTATGCAAATTCTTTCACATGCAAAGAAATAAATATGTGATAATTTGTTTCAAGGTGAGGAAGGAAACAACAAATCGAGAAGCTCCTTTCAGTTAAATAGGTTAATTATTATTTTCATCGTAGTTGTCAAAAGCAATGGTGATAGAGCAATTCATAATTAGGTGGGAGCTGTATTAAATCAAATAATCAATTCATAATTAGGTAGGAACCGCATTAAATCACAGATAAATATCAAACTACAATCATATCCTCATGTTGTTCCAAGGACATGTAATTGTACAACATGATTTCATGATACAATTGAATTTCTTAAATATTTTCTGAATATCATTCCATGACATCAGGACCGCCACCAAGGGATCTACCCCCCTTAACCCCGCTACTCCTAAAACTCCGCCAGGGAAAATGCCCCTTAGAACCCTACAAAGGGAGTTGCCCCCAGATCTCCATGTTCATGAGCTCTAATTAGTTTATTCAAGTGTGCACTTCGCACCTCCAAACTCGGATTAAAACCTACGTTGAACTCAACTGACAGGTTAATCCTAATTAGAGTAAATGGATTGATTTGGCTCCTACTAGAGAAGGCCTATTGCTACAAAACATATGAAGATTGCAAAAAAAAAAAAAAACTTGATATTCGAATTGACAAATATATTACTCCATTAATTGTAGTTTTTGATCCAGTTATCAGTCTTCCCTCAAAAAGAAAATATGCACCACCCTATAAAAAGTTAGTAACAATATCCTTTTGTGTGAAATCTAGGGTAGGTTTGATTGTTGAAAATTTTGTAGTTTTCTAGGAAAATTTTCTAAGAAAAACAGAAATTTTGAGAACACTTTTGGTTCATTCAGCTTTCCAAAGTTTTCTAAGAAACTGAAAATTTTTAGTTTTCCAAATTGTATGTAAATTAGAAAAGTGATTTTTACAGTTTTCCAAATTTCTAAGATGGAAAATTAAAACTCCCACCGTACCGACCAATCACGTTTTCATTAAAAATTGAAAATGAGAACTCTACCATATTTTTTAAAACATTTTTATAGAAAATGAAAACAGTTTTTCAGTATTTCATTAAACATGCTTCATTTATAATTTGGTTAATTTGGTCCCTTGACTTTAAAAGTCGTTACTAGAACTACTTTGTTTTTAGAAATTGATTGTTTTACATAATTTGACCAAGAAATTAATCCGATGCCGATATGATTGAATGGTTTTTACAACTCCTTTTACGAAATTTCTTGTTGAAAACATCTATAATAGGTTTCCGTGTATTTCACTGATATAAGAAAGTAAATATACGCATCTGCACTCTTTACAAATATATAAATAAGTAAAATGGAAACTATAAATTTAAAAATTTTGTTTGGCTTGTAACTTGTGCATTCACTTCCGTAACTTGCATTACTGAACATCCTCTTGTAGAAAATTCAATCTAAAATTAGAAACTTTAAACAACCCATGGGGGAGTTATTTATGATTCATTGAGATGGAATTTGGATCTTGAAATATCTTACTGCAACACCTTTTTTTGTAACTTGTGCCTTTCCCTTCTTACACTGCATTATTGAAAATCCCTTTGTGGTATTTCATTCTCAAAATAGAAAGTTTTAAACAACCCATGTTCTATGCATATGCTGTGTCTACATTTGGTATGCATATGCGTTTTGAAGATGCTTATATCAATATGTATAAATAAAATCATTATAATGGACTTAAAACCTAATGTACCCAATAGACCCTTTTTCCATTATTGTTCATGCCCACAAAACCAAATAAAATTTACCTAAACACAAAAATAATATATATATATATATATATATATATATATATATATATATATATATATATATATATATATATATATATATATATATATATAAGAATTAAACCAAAGGTCTCCTTTCCTCTTCCTCTTCGTTTTCATCATTATTACCCAAAGGCACTTCTTTCCTCTTCTGAACCATTCTTGGAGTTGGTTTGTTCTCTGGGATCATTTTTAACACGATTCCCATTGCAATTAGAATCAAACCAGTTCCATGTTGCTCCGTTAATGGCTTTGTGAAGATCAAGTAAGATAGCAACAATGTCACCGCCTTTCTAGCCGTTGTTATCTATCAAATGCAATTTGGTGCAAGTTTAGTAACACAAAGTACAACACGTGATGGATGATTATGTGATGTGATGTACCACCAATTTATTTGGTTACAAAATGTTTTTGTAACAAATGAGATCTTTCAAAGGAATTGGAATTTATCATGTGTTTGGTTTGCTAGAATATTGAACCAGATTAAATAAATAAAAATTTAGTAATTTATAAAATTTCACTTTTTACTTTTGTTTATTTCAATATTATGTACACATATAGTGAGGGTTTTAATAATAATAAAATAATTGTAATGAATTTCCTCCCACCAACCATAAGAAATCCATCACACATGGAATTTAAAGCAATATGACGAAATTTGATTTAGTCTATTTGGCAGCCAAACATGCAACGGAATGGAATCTCGGATTCCAATTCCATCGGATTCAAACATGCCATGGAATGGAATCTCGGATTCCAATTCCACCAGAACCCATAAACCAAAGGCGTCCTTGGGGAATGAAAATGTTAAGAAGTCAAAATTAAAGAAAAATGTACCATGGCAGTGGTGGCGGCTCCAAATAAGGCAATGAGGGAAAGGACGGAAACCTGCCCGATAAATGTCGCCATTGCTTCGAATATCAACACGCCATAGACATAAGGATGCTGTAGTTGTACCCACAAAACAAAATGGGTCAAAGGTCATGTTTTGACTTTTCGGTCAAAATAATAATGTTCTGAAGTCCAAATCGGACAATAGAGTCTTGAAAAAATTTCATGATTTCTTCAAAGATAATCTACACATTGCAACAAGTTGGCACAATATAGGGGTAAAATCTGTGATGATTTGCATCAATTATCGGCTTTAAAAAGTAGATGTTTGACCTAAACTTCAAATTAAATATTTTGTAAGACTTGCGTGATAACTGCAGTAATCATTATACACCTGTGACACCAATCACAAAGCAAATGTCTTGTGTCTGTATAAAATTCGAACTATAGTGAACTTGAAAACTGCTAGGATTGGCCTTTTAGGTCAAACCAAGAAGTTTTAAAATTCAAATTCAACAGGAAAATCTCGACAGTTTAAAAGGCACTTCTTACAGATATGTTAAATAATAATAGTATAACACATATCACAATAAGAAAAAAACGATATCATTTTGATGAAAAAAATCCGTATCTATTTTGAATTCAGAAACTACTACCGATGACTTGAAAAGTTTAATCAAGAGATAAGTGTAATCAACCTGCCAACAAGAACTCCAAGCTTTGAATAATTCCCCTGTCAAAAGCATTGGAGGAATCAAAAAAGGCAAACCCACAACAGTTGAGCAAAATAGCATCTCCATCTGCACAAGAAAACCAAAATTTCAATACCAAAAAAAAAATACTTTTTTCTGACTTGGTTGCTTTATTCACACCCAAGGAAATACCAATTGGACTCACACCCAAAAAGATGGGCAAGTTGGGATAGGGATTACTGATTGTGCAAAAGACTTAAATACCCTCCCCATCCACATCATAAAAAATAACCCTAAATCACCTGAGTTGTATTGGGATTCATTGCAAAGATAGCTTCTTGAAAATTCCCAAGAAATGAATCCATGATCAAAGCACCAGAAACCATAACAACACCAAGAATGCTAAAATTAGGCGAAGTATTTGCATCCGCAAGTGTGAATAGTATTAGACCCACCACCAGAAGCAAAGCGGATACATATTCGTGCGGAGGGTATTTTCGTCTTAACCCAGGGATAAACGCCCCCATCACCATCACCGGAAGAACCTGAAACATTTCCATCACAGTTCCAATATATCAAATAATAATTCATCGTACAACCAAACAATGCACAGAAAAAAAAAATAATAATAGACTTTTTTATCCATGAATGACATCAAAATTTTGGGTTTCTTAAGATTTTACCTTGGTGGATTTAAACATGAGTTGAGCAGGGTAATTTAGGAAAGCTAAAGACCCTTTGGTGAGACCATGAGAACCCATGAGTACTGCTGAAAGCTTCACATATGTCTTCCATGGATTCACCATTTGCTTGGTGGTGAAACCTTGCAAGTAAATTAAAGCAAGGTAAACCCATCCTTGAATGAATGTAAAATACCAACCATAACTACACAAAACAAAAAGAAAATTAGCAAAACCATGGCTTGATTAGTTAGATAAACAATTTGGTGAAAAAACTGACCTGAATTTAAGTCGATTGTATACATATTCCTGAAATGAAAAGAATCAATGAGCAATCAGAAACACACAAAAAATAATATTGATTACTCCCAAAATAAAAGTCCAATTTCGAGGTCAAATTATTTGTTTTTGAAGTATATAATTGACAAAAATTATCACTCCAGTTGCAGAAAATAAACGACTACATTAAGCTATGTATTAAATTTCTGTATATTTAGAGATTAAAATACTAAGAATCATGTGGAATTTGAACTTAGAGTTAGAAACCACCAAGTTTGTGACTTTAAACCTTTAAACTAAAAAATTAGGCTCTTGTGGAATTTCAACTTAGAATACTAAGAATTAAATTACTAAGAATTATGTGGAAATTTGAACTTAGAAAGCACCAAGTATGAGACTTTAAAACTAAAAAATTAGGTTCTTGTTTTTTTGGAGTCAAATTAAGTGGGCACCATCACACAATACAAACATCGACACAATTGAAGAGTTCCAAATTGATCATTATATGCGTTTACCCACAAAAGTCAATATTATTTTATAAATGTAAAAGATCGAACAGGTTGACAATTTAAAATTAACTAATAGAAAATTTCCCCCAAAGTTTAACAAATATCCAAAAAGAACGCAATATATTCCGCTTGATGTATTGTTTCTTTCACGAAAATGAATGTTCTTTAAACAATGTACAATCACTCCCAAAAGATATTATTTTCCTCCACACGAAATAATGCCATGACAAACTGTACTCCAAGCAGTACAAGTTGTACCTTTCGTCCGATTTGTGCATTTTACACCAAAATGTGCAACCAAAGAATAATTCGATTGCACCGATGCCGGCGTCCAAAAGATAGTCCAAGTCTCCAAAATACTATTTTTTGCAAATTAATTATTAAAAATTAAAACTCAAAGCCTCAAACAAAGACGATGATATTATCATCGAATAATTCTTGATACCAGACTGACATAGGAATTATTTTGATAAGCTGTGTAGGACCCATTTAGGATTCACCAAAAACTTCAAGCCAGTAATAACTTGTTTGTAAAAAATTAGAGCAAAAAGTACAGGGGAAAATAAAAAAATCAAGATAAAGTTAAAACCTTAAAATATGCAAAATTATGAAGGAAAACTTCTTGAGGTCTTGCATGCAACCATAAACGTCCTCAAGTAAAATTCCAAAAACCCACACAAACCCAATTCTTGAAAATTCTCAGCATATTTAAATTGGGGTTTTGGAGAACACCCAATTCTTGAAAGATTCGTCAAAACAAATATGGATTTTTATACAACACCTAAGTTTTTGATAATATCAGCAAATTAAAGATGCGTGTTTGAAGAACAACAGATTAATGAAAATATACCGAAATATAACAGGGGTTAATGAAATTATTACATCAGAAAACCAGCTAGTTAAGAAAAAACAGAAAAGACATGAAAAACCCCTAAATCTTCAAGGAAAATACAGAGGGCTTTGATAAAAATTACCTCACAAACACCATTAACGAGATACCCAAAGAAAAACCCCGAAGAACAGATGAGAAATTGTTGCCATTTTGGTCGATCAGAGAGAGAAATGCCAAACAGAGATCGAGATTGTTCTTCGTTGTTCTTCATATTACTCTGAACGATCCTTTAAAAAGTCAATAGCTTTTATGATGAAGAATGAAGGAATTTTTCATATAAAGAAATGGATCAACTGAGATTTGTGCATGTTGACTTTAGAGAGAGAAAGGATTGATTAAAGGGAGCGTATCGGTTCAATCACGTTAAACATGTATCGGGAACACATGAAACATAAAGGGTTTTATATTTTTTAGTTTTTTAGAGAGAGAAAGCTTGAAGAGAGAGAAAGAGTGTGTTTACAGGGTCTGGCCAACTCAAGAAGAAGGAGAGAGGTGTCTATAGAAGACTTTCATTAGAGGTTTTTGTAAACTTTACAAACGGGAAAATAAATAAATAAATAAACTAAATACTTTTTGGTACAGTGACATTGACACAATCGTCTTTTAATTAAATAAGTATATCTTTGTATTTTGTATAAAAGATCGACATATTTCATTTTTTAGCATTATAAAAATATTAAGGAATATTGCCATGATTTAATTAATGGAATGCAGTGCTTGTAAATAAAAATGCATTATATAAAACAAAGATTGATTTACAATCTACAGTTATTTTGTATACAATATTTTTGGTTATATATTAAATTTACAATAAATTTATGAAATATAACTTCGCTTTAAAGTATATTAAATTGAAATAACTTTTTTTTGGAAGGAAAAGTTTCACCCATTATGATCAAATCATATCATTACATAACCAATTAATTATGTTTTTTTCCCACGCAAATGACAATCCGGCCGGGTTTTTGTCTATATACAGGATTTATGGGGTAACAATTATAAAAATCAAATAAAAGTTAATTGGATTCTGTAATTGTTCGAAATGGGCTTTGAGAAATTTAGTATAAGGGTTAATCTTATTTTAAAATTATTATTATTATTAATTAATATGTTTTGATTTCAAAACACTTGTCTTAATACCTTTTTTCATGGATAAATTAGCATAATATAATAAACGTTATTTAGAGTTAGTAATTTCAATATATTTACTTATGTATTAGCCAATTTAAATTATGTTTTATTTTAACAATTAAATTATAAATAAAAGATAGGAATATATTTAATTTTTCATAAATAAAATACAAAAGTCTAAAAGGCAAATTAATATAGTTTATTTCTGATGAAACTAACATTAAATGTTTAATGGTCAAACGCTGTTTACAAAGATAGATTTTTTGTGCGATTTATAAGCTACTTTTTTGAGCCGGCAAAACTGGTAGTAAAAAATAAAGAAAACGTAAAAATGTATATACGAAAATGGTATGCCTCTAAATTAATTGATACTTTTGGAAAATATCAAAATTTAGGAAACAGTTGTGATTTTATTATTAAATAACTACAAAATAAAAATTTTATTTTATAAGCATACAAATATTATATCATTAATCCAAAAGAGTCTTCTCCTACACAAGAGACGGACTATAATTAGTAAAATGAATGTTGGAAAAAGAAATGAAGGTACAAGCTACAAAGAACATGTTACAAGTAGGAAAGGGTCGTATATTCCCGAGGTTTACCAAGTTTGAAGCAAGGGATGATTGCTGCACGTGGCGAAAGGAGAGAGCAGAAGTAAGAAGTGAGCTGGAAGTAATTACATGGGCCGGGAGTACTTCAACTTTGTTTTTATCCGCCGACCTCCATGCAAAGTTCGAACAGCATAAAAAAAACACATAATTTCATGTTATGCGTAAAAAATGGATGACTCGAATAAGTATATTTTTAAAGATATTTGTGAGTTATTTTTGGGCTAATCGACATTGGGAAAATAAAAGTTTTGTCAAATTTAAATATTTTTAGATATTTATTATAAAATAATCGCTTATTTCATAAGAATTACTTTTATAAAATAGATTAGTTTGCTAGACAATTATTCGATAACTAGTTGTAAGACTCAAGTGTTATATAGGTTAATTTAAAAATATTAAATATAAATATCAAAGTATTTAATAATTTTGAATTTATAAGAAATTTAGAAAAATAATAAGTTATTATAATGAAAATGTTTTTTATCTTTTAAATTTAAATAAATAAAAGAAACTAATAAACTTTAATTATGAGAATTTTGAAATTAAAAGCTAAGTTTATTAGTGAAGTTAATATCCATTTATTAATATGTTTATTGCAATTATTATATTAAAATATTATGTGAAATTTAATAATAATAATAATAATAATAATAATAAACTATAAAATAACATATGAAAAAAAAAATTAACTCAAAATAACTACAAAATCACATTTAACAAATTAAATAAGAATATGACAAGTCATAAAAAAACATATATTTATTAGAGAGGAAACTTCTGATAATTTGTTTACTGGATATCGTAAAATATTCTAAATTCATGAAATTATATTTTCTAACAAAGGGTAAACTGAGACTACTTAGATCATTTCATCTTTCACTGTCTTTAGTCATTTTATTTTCTCATTACTCTCTTTTTATTTTTTAAATTCTAGAAAATAAACGCATTTCATTTCACCTTATTTTTTGTTGTTAAAATAAATTACTATGATTTAGTAAACAAATAAAATTAATTAAAAAATGGTTAATAAACTCAAAATTAGTAAAAATATAAATATTTCAATATTTGAAAAAAATACATAGTTGCAACGCCCCGTTTCGAATAAAGTTCTAAATCGAGGATGTGGCATGAAGAGCGGTCATCATAAGGATTTGGGCCTTTATAAATGTAAGATTTAGGCCCATTTGGATGTGGGCAATGTGAGTATGTGACCCAATAGCTCAGTTTGCATTTTGGGGTCAAGGGTAAAACGGGAATGTAGTGTTTTAGGCTTCTTTTATGAATATTGGATTTTAGTTCGGTTGGGTTTCAGGTTAAATAAAGTTTATAGAGGTGTGAAGCTTCTCGTTACCTTTCCGTAGATATAAGGATCGTTAGAATCGGATTTATAACGAAGAAGTTATGGCATTCAGAAGTTTTGTGGTTTTCAGGCTTCACCGAGTACACGGGGCGTACACAAAACGTACGCGGGGCATACTAGTGAAGAAGGTAGTACGCTAGGTGTACTGAATAGGTGTAGCACCTGGTTTCTGGTACGTAAATTTTATCTAAGTATTTGACAGTTGTAGCCTTGGACTCGGCGAGTTGTAGGTCCGACTCGGCAAGTCCGTATTCTGGACTCAGCGAGTCACCGCTGTTTGATGAAACCCTAAATTTCAAGGGTTTGAACCCTATTTAAACCCTCATTTCCGCCCCAAGCTCGCCCCCATTCACCCTCAGAGCCACCAACATCGTTTTTTCCCCTTTTCCTTGTGAGATTGAAGTGTTTTGGGTGTGTTCTTGAAGTTTTTGAGGAGAAAGAAGAGTAGATCAAGAAGAGGAGAAGGAGGCCAAGCCTTTTGTGACATCCCAACGTTTTCCTTGAGGTATAGCTCGTTTCCCCTTTGTTTTCAAGGTTGTAGTCCTTAATAGCTTCATGAAAGTCCTTCTTGAGCCATTCTCCAAACTTGTTTGTGCTTTGTGAGTTGTAATAAGTTGTTAGCCTTTAGATCTAGGCATGATTTAGTCCCTGGAGCTTGGATCTACTGCCTTTATGGAGTCATATTGTATGAAAGTCCTAGATCTACCCCTTTTGGTGCACTTTGAGCCCTAAAACCTTCATTGGTGATTATTTACACGTAAAGTTGGAAACTTTACGTGTAAACCAGGCCCTAGGAACCCAGATCTGTGAATGGCATGAACTGGATTCAAGCAAAATCGCATGTATAGTTTTTGCATGAGGCAGACTCGGCGAGTCGTTTATCTGACTCGGCGAGTCGGGTTGCGAGTCCCAGGGTTGTTCCCATTTGTGTTTGCGAGTTGGAGTAGTGAGTCATAGGGTATGACTCAGTGGGTTGGAAGCCAGACTCACTCATGAAGTCACTCGGCGAGTCAGTGCCATGACTCGGCGAGTTCATGGCAATCTTCTTGTCTCAAGAACAACTCGACGAGTTGTTCATACAACTCAACAACTCGGCAAGTCACAGCTTAGAGTGTTCTTCGGATGAAGGCGAACTCGGCGAGTTGTTCGTATATGCATTAGGATCGTTCCATGTGAACGGTATTCCGGTTCAGGTGTTGTTCGACTCGGGTGCCACCCGGTCATTTGTTTCCCTTGCGCTAAGCAAGAGGTATACTGAGTCCTCGGGCATGTTGGATTGCCCTTTAGAGATAAAGATTGCCGATGATCGATCGGTGCGAGCATCAGCAGTGTTCAGGGATTGTGTTTTGAGGTTATTTGAGGAGCGCTATTTGGTGGATTTGGTTCCCATACCGTTGCGGGGGAACACAGTGATTATAGGCATGGATTGGTTGAGCCCTAATGGGGCGGTGATAGATTGCGCACAGCAGCTAATGCGGGTCAGGACCCCAAGCGGGGGAGAGTTGGTGATCCACGACGAGAGGCCACAGCGTGGACCTATAGTATGTTCAGCAGCGAGAGTTAGGCGCTACCTTCAGCATGGATGCGCGAGGTATGTCACGTATGTTATGGATACCCGGGAGACGGGTAAGGCGACGGTGAGCGAGGTTCCAGTGGTGCGAGACTACGCTGATGTGTTTCCGAAGGAGCTTCCTGGAATACCTCCGGAGCGTCAGGTGGAGTTCAGGATCGATCTAGTTCCTGGTGCGGCTCCAATAGCCAAGACACCCTATCGGTTGGCTCCTCCCGAGATGCAGGAGTTGTCTACGCAGCTGCAGGTGCTGCTAGACAATGGGTTTATTCGACCGAGCAGTTCACCCTAGGGAGCCCCGATCCTGTTTTTGAGGAAGAAGGACGGGTGCATCGGATGTGTATAGATTATCGGGAGCTGAATAAGGTAACGGTGAAGAACCGTCACCCACTCCCGAGGATTAATGACCTCTTCAATCAGTTGCAGGGAGCATCTTGGTTCTCCAAGATCGATTTGCATTCAGGCTATCATCAGATGAGGGTTAGAGATGAGGATATACAGAAGACCGCGTTTCGGACGCGTTATGGACATTATGAGTTCGTGGTGATGCCGTTTGGGGTCACCAATGCTCCTGCCGCGTTCATGGACCTCATGAACCGCGTGTGTAGACCGATGTTGGACCGGTCTGTGATAGTTTTCATTGATGACATCTTGGTTTATTCCAAGACTCAGGAGGAGCATGAGGAGCATCCGAGGGAGGTTTTGGAGACCCTGAGGAGGGAGAGCTTGTATGCCAAGTTCTCCAAATGTGAGTTTTGGTTGCGCGAGGTGCAGTTTCTTGGGCACCTCGTCAACCAGAATGGGATTTCAGTAGACCCGGCCAAGGTGGAGGCCGTGATGAGGTGGGAGGTTCCGAAGTCTCCATCTGAAATTCGGATTAGCAGGCTATTATCGGAGGTTCATTCAGTATTTCTCCAAGATAGTCGTACCCCTGACACGGTTGACTAGGAAAGCCATGGTCTTTCGATGGGGGCCTGAGCAGCATGCAACGTTCGAGACTCTGAGGCAGAGATTGTGCGAGGCGCCGATCTTAGCCATGCCCGAGGGTGTGGAGGATTTTGTGGTATATTGCGATGCGTCGATCTCAGGCTTAGTCGCAGTGTTGATGTAGAGGGGTAGGGGTGCAAACGAGCCAAGCTACTCGCGAGCTACTCGGGATCGGATCGTTAAAAACTCGACTCGAAATCGGTTTTAAACGAGCCCAAGCCGAGCTCGAGCTTAAAATTAAGCTCGTTTATTAAACGAGCTCGAGCTCGAGCCTATGTCATTAAGCTTGATTAGGCTTGCGAGCCTAAACGAGCCTTTACATAATATAATTTATTATTATTTATATATATTAAAATAAAAATATATTAGAGGAATTACGGATTTAGGGTATTAGTAAACGAGCTTCTTAACGAGCTCGAGCCGAGCTTAAGCTTATTTAGGCACGTCAGATAAAAAACGAGTCGAGCCCGAGCCCGAGCCGAGCTTCGATAATTCGTTACGAGCTCGATCCGAGCTCAGTACAAGAAAGCTCGAATCGAGCCGAGCTCGAGCTCGAGCCTCATATAACTTAAACGAGCTCGAGCCGAGCCTGGCCAGGCTCGAGCTCGGCTCGGCTCGTTTGCACCCCTATAGAGGGGGCATGTCATTGCTTATGCCTGGAGGCAGCTGAAGCCTCACGAGGCGAACTATCCGACGCATGATTTGGAGTTGGGGGTGGTGGTCTTCGCCCTCAAGATATGGCGGCATTACCTTTACAGGGTTTGTTGTACCATTTACACGGACCACAAGAGTTTGAGGTACTTCATGGATCAGCCGAATCTGAACATGAGGCAGCGTCAGTGGTTGGACGTGGTGAAGGATTATGATTGCGAGATCCTTTACCACCTGGGGAAGGCCAATGTGGTGGCCGATGCGCTTAGCCGCAAGGCGGCGCCGATCAGGGATGTTTGCATGAGGATGACTGTGGTGACTCCCCTATTGGAGCAGATTCGGGAGGCTCAACAGGAGGCTATGAAGGAGGAGCATCGGAAGAGTGAGCATATAGTGGGACAAGTCACCTCCTTCGATTATGATAGCCGAGGGTTATTGACACTACACCGTAGGGTGTGGGTGTCGTATCATGGAGGCATGCACCAGATCTTGATGGAGGAGGCACACAAATCACGAATCTCTATTCATCCAGGGGAAAAGAAGATGTATCGGGATCTTCGCCTGGATTATTGGTGGTCCTGCATGAAGCGGGACGTGGCGTGGTACGTCGAGCGGTGTTTGACCTGCAGGAAGGTCAAGGCCGAGCCTTAGAGACCGCACGGCAAGATGCAGTTGTTGGATATCCCGTTGTGTAAATAGGAGGATATTACGATGGATTTTATCACGAAGCTTCCACGAACGGCGCGAGGAGTAGATTCGATTTAGGTCATCGTGGATCAGTTGACTAAGAGCGCCCATTTTATTCCGATTCTGGAGAGTATCTCAGCCAAAAAGTTGGCCGATATCTATATCAGGGAGATAGTGGCGCGACACGGGGTGCCAGTGTCAGTGATGTCAGATCGAGATGTGCGGTTCACTTCCAGGTTTTGGAAGAGGTTTCATGATGAGTTGGGCACTCGTTTGCATTTTAGCACCGCCTTTCACCCGCAGACGGATGGTCAGAGTGAGCGGACCATCCAGACCTTGGAGGATATGTTGCGGGCGTGCGTGTTAGATTTCGATGGTAGTTGGGATACCTATCTTCCCTTGGCTGAGTTCTCGTACAACAACAGCTACGATGCGAGTATTGATCGTCCCCCCATTCGAGATGTTGTATGGTCGGAGGTGCATGACCCCGATATGCTGGGGTGAAGTTAGCCAGAGGGTCATGGGGAGCACCGAGGTGGTGCTCAAGATGACCGAGAGAATCCAACAAGTTCGGAGTAGGCTTTAGACTGCGCAGAGTCGGCAGAAAAGTTATGCCGACAAGCGTCGATCAGACCTAGAGTTCCAGGTCGGGGATATGGTTCTCCTAAAGGTGTCGCCTTGGAAAGGCTTCATTCGATTCAGGAAGCGGGGCAAGTTGGGCCCGAGATTTATTGGACCGTTCAGGGTTGTAGCCTGGGTAGGCAAGGTGGCATATAGGTTGGATCTGCCAGCCGAGCTCAGCCAGATCCACAACACCTTCTATGTCTCCCAGTTGCGGAAGTGTCTCGTGGATGATTCAGCGGTGGTGCCATTAAAGGATATACAGGTTGATGACAGCCTGAATTACATTGAGCGCCCAGTCGCAATCCTTGACCGGAAGTCGAAGGATCTAAGGAACAAGAGGGTGGATCTAGTAAAAGTGCAATGGCAGCATGCAAGGGTTCGGAATGGACTTGGGAGCCGGTGGAAGAAATGATGGAGCATTACCCCGACCTGTTTCAGGATCGAGCGGTAGACTTCGTGTAACGACCCAAAAATCACGACCAAAAATTTCTTTAAAAGCATTACTAGAATCATATTTATAAAAACTGTATCATAAGTCATAACATAAATTCTCGAGTATTAATTCAAAACATAATATCATTATCAGAGTCAAACATTCCCAAGCTAACTGACTATGGTGTGTGCACTGCAATCTCCCCGAGCTCCTCTTTTGAAAACTGAGTAACTGAAACCAAAACTGAAAACCGTAAGCACGAAGCTTAGTAAGCTCCCCCAGTCTAACACATACCATACAATAACATATAAAGCACATACTGGGCCTTGCCCACTGCATCGGACAAATGTCCGGACTAACTGGGGACTTGCCCCCTACATCGGACCGAAGTCTGGAAACTGACTGGGACCTTGTCCCCTGCATCGGACCGAAGTCCGGACTAACTAGGGCCTTGCCCCCTGCATCGGACCGAAGTCCGGAAACTGACTGGGACCTTGTCCCCTGCATCGGACCGCAGTCCGGACTAACTGGGGCCTTGCCCCCTGCGTCGGACCGAAGTCCGGAAACTGACTGGGACCTTGTCCCCTGCATCGGACCGAAGTCCGGACTAACTGGCTGAAAATAGCATAGCATAACATATCAACTAGCATGAACACATATACTGCATACTACATCGGGCCGTAGCCCGGAACACATAACACATAACACATAAAACATAGCACATAAATCCTGTCTGAGCCACAAAGGCATCAAACAAACTAACTACTGCATCGGACTAAAGTCCGGAAACTACTGCTAACTAGACGGGCCGGCATTGTGGCCTTAGACCCGTCCCTACTGGAAGGAAACTCACCTGATGCTGCTGAACTGCTGCTGCTAATCCTTTGACTGCTACCTGACCTCTGACTTCGACTACTGCTCCACTAGCTCCTCAAGCTACCAATATCAATATAACACTTAGTCCAACTGACCTCCAAAGGTCACTAGGTCAATTCTGGTCCAGGTCAAAATCCTGGTCAAAGTCAACCTTCCAGGTCAACCCTACTCGCCGAGTCTTCCTAAAGACTCGCCGAGTTCATAAGCTCCAGGTCTTTCTTATTCGCGACCCGACTCGCCGAGTCCAACCAGTTCCAAGTCCTGTCCTGTCCAACTCGCTGAGTCACCACCAGACTCACTGATTCGGGTCCCGACCCGAAGGGTTCAGAGTTTCGCGATCTGACTCGCCGAGTCCAAGAACAGACTCGCCGAGTCCATGCCTAACTTCATCCGACTTGACGAGTTGTTCATCCTACTCGTCGAGTCCCTCCTCATCTTCAAGCTACTCGCCGAGTCCACTCTAAGGACTCGCCGAGTCTATCCAGTCCCCAATCCATGCAGCGGCTTTTCGAGCCAAACAGAGTTTCCAACTCATAGATCCATGCTTCTAGGGACTATTCCCCACGCAAAGTGGCAAACTTTACGTGTAGATTAAGAGATCTAGGCTCAAAACACTATAAACTAGGGTTTAAGACAAAGGAGCTCAACAATCATCCCAACAACTGATGCTTTCCGAGTCTCTAAGCCAAAACACACTTAGATCTGAAGTAGCAACTTCAGATCTGAGCTTCCAACTCGAAATGGGTCTCAAACAACCATAAAACCCCCAAATGTCATAACAACTAGATCTAGATGCAAGGAAGGGAAAATGACAGCTTAATACCTCCAAGAAGAGCACAAACTGCAGTAGATCTCGGATCTACACCTCTCCTTTGTAGCAACCCCACCGATCTCCAAGTCCCTTCCAAGATTTCCTTCCTCCAAAGCTATTATTTTCTCAAATGATGGAGGCTCCCACGAATTTAGGGTTTACAGCTTCTCTAGGATGATATGGAGGCTGAGGGAGGGACATAACTCCCTTAAATATAGGATACAACACCCAGAATTAGGGTTTTCCTCGCACAGACCAGACTCGCCGAGTCCCCTTGGCCGACTCGTCGAGTCGGTCGCTTTCACCACACCCGGATCCCGCTCGGACTCGCCGAGTCCCTCCATGGACTCGCCGAGTCTACCCTAAACTTGAGGTTTTCTTTCTTTTCTTGGCTCTCCAAACTTTGGGGTGTTACACTTCGAGGACGAAGTCTAAAATAAGTGGGGGAGATTTGTAGCACCTGGTTCCTGGTACGTAAAATTTATCTAAGTATTTGACATTTTTAGCCTTGGACTCGGCGAGTTGTAGGTACGACTCGCCGAGTAGGGATGCGGTCCGGGGGCACGTTTAAGTTGGCGACTCGGCGAGTCCATATTCTAGACTCGGCGAGTCACTGCTGTTTGATGAAACCCTAAATTTCAAGGGTTTGCACCCTATTTAAACCCTCATTTCCGCCCCAAGCTCGCCCCCATTCACCCTCAGAGCCCCCAACATCGTTTTTGCCTTTTTCCTTGTGAGATTGAAGTGTTTTGGGTGTGTTCTTGAAGTTTTTGAGGAGAAAGAAGAGTAGATCAAGAAGAGGAGAAGGAGGCCAAGCCTTTTGTGACATCCCAACGTTTTCCTTGAGGTATAGCTCGTTTCCCTTCTGTTTTCAAGGTTGTAGTCCCTAATAGCTTCATGAAAGTCCTTCTTGAGCCATTCTCCAATCTTGTTTGTGCTTTGTGAGTTGTAATAAGTTGTTAGCCTTTATATCTAGGCATGATTTAGTCCCTGGAGCTTGGATCTACTGCCTTTATGGAGTCATATTGCATGAAAGTCCTAGATCTACCCCTTTTGGTGCACTTTGAGCCCTAAAACCTTCATTGGTGATTATCTACACGTAAAGTTGGAAACTTTACGTGTAAACCATTCCCTAGGAACCCAAATATGTGAATGGCATGGATTGGATTCAAGCAAAATCACATGTATAGTTTTTGCATGAGGCAGACTCGGCGAGTCGTTTATTTGACTCGGCGAGTCGGGTTGCGAGTCCCAGGGTTGTTCCCTTTTGTGTTTGCGAGTTGGAGTAGTGAGTCATAGGGTATGACTCAGTGGGTTAGAAGCCAGACTCACTCATGAAGTCACTCGGCGAGTCAGTGCCATGACTCGGCGAGTTCATGGCAATCTTCTTGTCTCAAGAACAACTCGACGAGTTGTTCATACAACTCGACGAGTCACAGTTTAGAGTGTTCTTCGGATGAAGGCGAAGTCGGTGAGTTGTTCATATAACTCGGCAAGTAGGAGGAAGGACTTTTGGACTTGGGTATAGAGAAAGGGACTCGGCGAGTTGGCAAGCCAACTCGGCGAGTCTGGTCAACTGGCAGTTGACTGTGACTTGACTCATGACTTGTTAAGGGTAAATGGACAATTTACCCTGAGGGCGATTAGCAGTATTTGACTAGTGTTTGGTGGGAATTACAGCCGGAGGATTTCCGGAGCAGCAGCAGCAAACAGACTATTCCCACACAAATCAACAACTACTACGAGGTGAGTTACCTTCTAGTAGCGGTGGGTCTACGGCCACAATGTCGGCCCACCAGTAGGAGTTGTATGATGGATGATTGTCTCTGTGATATTCATCTAAGGTTGCTACTACCTGTGATATGTTTATGTGCTAGTATGATATGCTGCTATGTGCTAGTGACAGTAGGGGGAGATAGTCCCCAGATTACCGGTCGATAGGGCCGAAGGGGCAGTCATGCCCAGCCATGCTAGATAGATTATGAGATATCTGTGTTATGTGGTAGTAGTAGGGGTGAAATAGTCCCCAATATCCGATCGAGAGGACCGAAGGGGAGACCAGCACCCAGATATGCTAGTCAGTATCCGGTCGAGAGGACCGAAGGGGAGGCAAGCTCCCAGTTATGCTAGACAGTATCCGGTCGAGAGGACCGAAGGGGTAGTTCGGGCACCCAGATATGCCTGACAATATATGCATGTTATTGTTGGATTAGTGTCTAAGCCTGTAACCATAATTGGTAAGTACTTGACCTGATTTTGCATGGTCCTTTTGGGTTGCCTTCACCAAAGCAACTTGACTGGAGAAATAATAGAGAAAGGGGTTATTATGATTTATTAATATGTTATAAGAATAATATATTAAAGTAGAAATCATATTTGTTTAATTAATATTGGTCAATAATTAATTAAGAATTAATTTTGTGATTAAATGTAATTAATTAAACTAGAGGGGCTAACTTGTAATTATGTGATAGTTACAAAATAGGGTAAGGATTATCCTAAGGATAGGTTGGACGAATTTAAGGTGATAAGGCCTTAGAATTTATTCATGATAAGGATTCAAGGCTTATCTTGTGGGTTGCTTGGCGGGCAAGCAACTAGATAAGGATAAGGACTGAAACCCTATCTCTACACCTATATAAACACCTCTTTGGCTCATGATTTCGTCCATACCTTCCCAAGACTTCTTAGGGACGAATTTCATACCTCTCCTTCTCTCTCTATATCTTCTCCAATTGCTTGTGGTGTTTGTGAGCCATTAGAGGCACTACACTTGTGGTGCTTGCTTTCAAGACCTAGGGTTTGAAGATTCAAGTTGTTATTATAATATAACAACAAGAGGTATGTAATATAACTTTCTTGGTTAATTTCGAAAATAGCAATCATCTTTAGGGTTTTATTATGCGTTCATAATGTTGTATATCTAATAGTGAAAACATAGATCCAATGCTAGGGTTGCATGTACACATAGGATTGTTTGTATAAAACCCACCAGTTATGTGATTGTATGGGATGTGGTACGTTGGGGGAACTCACTAAGCTTCGTGCTTACAGTTTTCAGTTTTTGTTTCAGGTACCTCTTCTTCGAAGGGGAAGGAGTTAGCGCGGTAGCGGTACATCACACACCTGCTTATATTCCGCATTATGATATCTTCCTGGGAAATTGTACTCTGACACTTTTATGATTATGAAAATGTTTTCCGACGTGCAACATCTTTTGTGAAAAGAAATGATTGTTGAATGATTTATTCCTAAATGTTTTGCTAAGTACTCGTTTTAAAAACGAAATTTTTGGCTCGTATTTTTGGAGTGTTACACTAGGATGGCCGCGAATGTTCTTCGGTGTACGCTGGGTGTACACCAATCAGATTCCCTATTTTAGGGTCTTGGACCATATTTAAACACCTTATCTCATAATCTAACCCTAATATCGCTAGCCTCCACCCCTCTAACCCCTAGAAATCATTCTTAATCATACATGGTGACATGTGGGAGCTCATGGAGTCCATTTTTAGAGTACTTTGTCCATTTCCAAGAAGGTGGAGTTGATGCAAAGATGGGGGGATCAAGGAGAAGCTTATGGATCTGGATTTTGTGAATCATTTTCAGCTTAATGAAGGTATACAGTTTTGAACTTGGTCATTCATCTCTTAGATCTACCATTTATGGGTTTTGGTCCCTTTTTGGTCCGAATGATGAAGATTTATGGTTCAAATCTGATTCTTAGGCTTAGGGTTGTTGCCCTTGGTGCTATTTAAGTCCCTAAGGTAGAAAGTTTTCATCTTGGAAGTCTAAAAGGGTTCATGCAAGATTTATAGCCATTTTCATGAAAGTAGATTGCTATAATTTGAGTATTGGGTTCATGTGGGCCATATAAGTCACCAAATCAATGACTTTATGGATTAAGACGTTAAGTAGCACCCAGATTTGTAATTTGGTCCCTTGG